GACAAATTTAAAGCAGTCTCTAGAGAAAAATATATAGCAATAAATGCCCACACGAGAAGCAAGGAGAGATCCAAAATTGACACCCTATCATCAAATTGAAAGAGCTAGGGGAGCAAGATCAAAAAAACTCAAAACCTAGCTGAAGACAAGAAATAACTAAGATCAGAGCAGAGCCGAAGGAGATAGAGACACAAAAAACCCTTAAAAAAAAATTAATAAATCCAGGAGCTGGTGTTTAGACAATATCAACAAAATAGACAGACCACTGGCCAGGTTAATAAAAAAGAAAAAAGTGAATAATCAAATCGATGCAATATACAATGATAAAGGGGATATCACCACAGAAATTCAAGCCATCATCAGAAATTACTACAAACAACTCTATGCACATAAACTAGTAAACCTGGAAAGAATGAATAAATTCCTGGACACCTGCATCCTCCCAGGCCTAAACCAGGAAGAAGTCAAAACCCTGAAAAGACCAACAACAAGGTCTGAAGTTGAGGCAGCAATTAAGACCCTACCACCCAAAAAAAGCCCAGGTCCAGATGGGTTCACAGCCGAATTCTACCAGACATACATTCCTTCTGAAACTATTCCAGATAATCCAAAAAGAGGGAATCCTTCCCAAATCATTTTATGAGACCAAAGTCATCCTGATACCAAAACACTGCAGAGACTCAGCAAGAAAAGACAACTTCAGGCCAATATTCATGATGAACATAGATGCAAAAATCTTCAATACAATACTGGCAAGCTGATTGCAAGAGCGCATCAAAAAGCTTATCCACCATGATCAAGTAGGATTCATCCCGGGGATGCAAGGCTGGTTCAACATACACAAGTCTATAAATGTAATTTACCACAGAAAGAGAACAAAAGACAAAAACCACATAATTATCTCAATTGATGCAGAGAAGGCCTTTGACAAAATTCAATGACTCTTTATGCTAAAAAAGCCCTCAATAAACTAGGTATTGACTAAACATATCTCAAAACAATAAACCCTATTTATGACAAACCAACAGCTAATATGATACGGAATGGGCAAAAATTAGAAGCATTCCCTTTGACACTAGACAAGGATGCCCTCTCTCACCACTCGTATTCAACATAGTACTGGAAGTTCTACCCAGAGCAACCAGGCAAGAAAAAAAAAAAAATAAAGTGTAGTCAAATAGAAAAAAACGAAGTCAAATTGTCTCTATTTTCAGATGAAATAATTGTATATCTAAAAGACCCCATCGTCTCAGTCCAAAATCTCCTGAAACTGATAAACAACTTCAGCAAAGTCTCAGGATATAAAATCAATGTACAAAAATCACAAGCATTCCTATACACCAGTAACAGACTTAACAAGAGCCAAATCAAGAACGAACTGCCATTCACAATTGCCACAAAGAAAATAAAATACCTAGGAATACAACTAACAAGGAACGTAAAGGACCTCTTCAAGGAGAACTACAAGCCACTGCTCAACAAAATAAGAGAGGACACAAACAGATGGAGAAACATTCCATGTTTATGGTTAGAAAGAATCAATATCATGAAAATGGCCATACTGCCATTTACAGATTTAATGCTATCTCTATCAAGCTACCAATGACCTTCTTCACAGAACTGGAAAAAAACACCTTATATAAATAAATTAAAAGGTGTTCATATGGAACAAAAAGAGAGCTCGCATAGCCAAGTCAATTCAAAGCAAAAAGAACAAAGCAGGAGGCATCACACTACTGGAGTTCAAACTATATTACAAGGCTACAGTAATCAAAACAGCATGGTACTGGTACCAAAACAGAGATATAGATCAATGGAGCAGAGCAGAGGCCTTGGAGGCAACACAACATTATCTACAACCATTCAATCTTTGAAAAACCTGACAAAACAAGCAATGGGAAAAGGAGTCTTTGTTTAGTAAATGGTGTTAAGAAAACTGGCTAGCCATGTGCAGAAAGCAGAAACTGGATCCCTTCCTGACACCTTACACTAAAATTAACTCCAGATGGATTAAAGACTTAAACATAAGACCTAACATTATAAAAACCCTTGAAGAAAACCTAGGAAACCATTCAGGACATACTTGTAGGCAAGGACTTCATGAACAAAACACCAAAAGCATTGACAACAAAAGCCAAAATAGACAAATGGGACCTAATCAAACTCCACAGCTTCTGCACAGCAAAAGAAACGTCATTAGAGTGAATTGGCAACCAACAGAATGGGAAAAAATTTTTGCCATCTACCCATCTGACAGAGGGCTGATACCAGACGCTACAAAGCACTAAAACAGATTTACAAGAAAAATACGAACAAGCCCATTCAAAAGTGTGCAAAGGATATGAACAGACACTTTACAAAAGAAGACACACATGAGGCCAACAAACATATAAAAAAATGCTCATCATCTCTGGTCATTAGAGAAATGCAAATCAAAGCTACATTGAGATACTGTCTCATGCCAGTTAGAATGGTGATCATTAAAAAACCTGGAGACAACAGATGCTGGAGAGAATGTGGAGAAATAGGAACACTTTTACACTGTTGCTGGGAGTGTCAATTCAACCATTGTGGAAGACAATGTGGTGATTTCTCAAGGACCTAGAAATAGAAAATCCATTTGACCCAGCAATCCCATTACTGGGTATATATCCAAAGGATTATAAATCATTTTACTATAAGGACACATGCACACGAATGTACACTGCAGCACTGTTTACAATAGCAAAGACCTGGAACCAACACAAATGCCCATCGATGATAGACTGTACAGGGAAAATGTGGCACATATACACCATGGAATACTATGCAGCCTTAAAAAACGATGAGTTTATGTCCTTTGTAGGGACATAAATGAACCTAGAAACCATCATTCACAGCAAACTGACACAAGAACAGAAAATCAAACACCACATGTTCTCACTCACAGGTGGGTGTTGAACAATGAGAATACATGGACACAGGGAGGGGAACATCACCCACTGGGGTCTGTAGGGGGGAAATAGGGGAGGGCCGGGGGGGTGGGGAGTTGGGGAGAGATAGCATGGGGAGAAATGCCAGATATTCGGTGATGGGGAGGAAGGCAGCACATCACACTTCCAAGTGTATACCTATGCAACAATTTTGCATGTTCTTCACATGTACCCCCAAACATAAAATACAATAAAAAAACTAAAATTATAATTAAAATAAATAAATAAAAAGAAGGTTGGGCCAGGTGCGGTGGCTCACACTTATAATCCCAGCATTTTGGGAGGCTGAGGCCAGTGGATCACGAGGTCAAGAGATCAAGACCATCCTTGCCAAAATGATGAAACCCCGTCTCTACTGAAAATACAAAAATGAGCCAGACATTGTGGTGCATGCCTGTAGTCTCAGCTACTTGGGAGGCTAAGGCAGGAGAATTGCTCAAATATGGAAGGCAGAGGTTGCAGTGAGCCAAGATTGTGCCACTGCGCTCCAGCCTGGTGACACAGCGATGCTCCATCTCAAAAAAAAAAAAAACACCATTTGCAGGACTGGATATGAAAAGGAAAAAAAATGTAAAGAACCACACCTGTTCATCTGCTGAGCACACCGTGATTCCTAACTCAGCAAAAGGCCCCCCGCTCTGGGAAAACCTGAAAGCGAACTTCTGTTTCCAAAATGCATTTTTACGGTTGGAAATCTGTGTTTCCCAAGCCCTCCTTCCAGTCCTTGGCACTGTGACAAACATTTCTCACCCCTGGGGACGTGGGGCTGGAGATGCAAAAGTGAAAGTCACCAAGGCTGAGTTTCAGCTGCCTGCATCCTTGCAGCCAGGGCCAGAGGGCCGTGAGGGATTCCCTAGCTCCCACCGTCTACGCTGGACTCACAGGGCACGGCTCTGCCGCAGTGGCCCGGCTTACCTCCATGAAGTGATTGCTCAGGGTGGGCCCTGAGTCATTCTCGAATATCTGGCTGACACGGAGATGCCTCTTGTTGCTGCTCTCATCCCAGTGCTTCCTATAGCTCACCTCCAGTTCAAGCGATTCTCCTGCCTCAGCCTCCAGAGAAGCAGGCAAGTAGCCGCCACTACGCCTGGCTAATTTTTGTATTTTAATAGAGATAGGCTTTCACCATGTTGGCCAGGCTGGTCTTTAACTCCTGACCTCGTGATCCACCTGCCTCAGCCTCTGAAAGTGCTGGAATTACAAGCATTAGCCACTGCGACTGGCCTTTTTTTTTTCTTTAACTTATTTATTTTAGAGATAAGATCTCACTCTGCTGCCCAGGCTGGAGTACAGTGGCACATTCTTGGCTCATTGCAACCTCTGCCTCCTGGATGAATAGAAATAAGACTGAGGCTGAAGTGCCAGCCCTGGATTTATTCCTAAATGGCTCTGCTATTGGGAGCAAGTTCATCTCTTTGGGGTTGAGCTTGGGGTATTCAGATCACCACTTGCCAGACTCTGGCGCACTCTGGACATCCCACCTCACCTGGGAACCCACTTTGTAGCTGAAGGCCAAGATCTGTGTGCAGTGGAGCTCATGGCCCAGCTCCAGCCTGTAGGCAAGCCGTTCTCTGTCTGCAGCCTCTGGCCAGTGCTGCACTGGTGTGTTGGCTGTTTTGCCTGGGCTGTGAGGATCAATCAAGGGACCCCTGCCCTCCTCTGCCAGGCAGCCCCTTTAACAGGGCTCCAAGAGGAGGAGGGCCCAGCCCAGCCTGGCCTCAGTCATGTTTCCCCCACCCTGTGGTCTGCTTCACCTGTCACTCCATTAGAACCTGTTCATAGGGAGGTCTTAAGAGATGGATAAATTCCCCTCAACAGACATTTTTTTTTAATGAGCAGGTACTAAGTCCTACTCAGAGCCCACAGAATGGCTAATGAAAAATCCTGTGGTGACAGCATATCTTAGCTCGCAGAGCCACAGCCACAGGAACCAGGGCAGGCCCTGCCACCTCAACCTGCCCCACAGCCAGGCACACAGTGCTTTACCCAGGAGGCTGTACTGGATCCTCAGGGAGTTGGTCCACAGCTGGCCCCACCAGCCCTGGCACGAAGAGTTTGGCACGCAGGGTGGCCACCCAGCATTCATCCTCCTTCCTTTCCAGCAGTGCTGCAGGGACAGAGAGCAGGCAGGTGAAAGCATTAGCCCCAGGGACCAAAATTCCCAGCCCCAGGCAAAGAGGGAACTCAGGAATACTCCAGGGGCCTTGGGGTTGGGGGCTCCTTGAAGAGTCAACACCTGTGCCCTGCACAACAGCCCACAGACAGGTCTAATCATGGCTCACTGCAGCCTTGACCTCCCAGGCTCAATTGATCTTCCACCTCAGCCTCCCAAGTAGCTAAAACTACAGACATGTGCCACCACATTGGCTAATTTGTGTGTGTGTGTGTGTGTGTGTATATATATATATGTGTGTGTGTATGTACACACACACACACACACACATACATACATACATACATACATACATACATATACACATATTTTTTGTAGAAACAGGAGTCTCACTATGTTTCCTGGGCTCAGGCAATCCTCCTGCCTTGTCTTCCCAAAATGCTGGGATTATAGGCATGGGATACCATGCTTGGTCCAAGGATAAAGTAGAATGAGGCCAGGCGCAGTGGTTCATGCCTGTAATCCCAGCACTTTGGGAGGCCAAGGCAGGCAGACTTCCTAAGGTCAGCAGTTCGAGATCAGCCTGGCCAACATAGTGAAACAGCGTCTCTACTAGAAATGCGAAAAAGAAAAGTTAACCATGTATGGCGGCAGGCACCTGTAATCCCAGTTACTCTGGAGGCAGAGGCAGGAGAATCGCTTGAACCCAGGAGGCAGAGGCTGCGGTGAGTCAAGATTGCACCATTGCATTGAGTCCCAACAACACTGTGAGACTGTCTCAAAAAAAAAAAAAATGTACAATGAAACAAAATCAAATAGGACAGATGACAAAAGAATTAACCACACATCATGGGTCGCTGGGTATATTTCACCTTCTGAAGCTTCTTATTCTGCAACAGGTCATCCAGAACTCACAGGTGGAAATGGGCCAGCTGTTATGACTTCCAAACACCCACATGAGGTGGTCAACAGCCACCGCTCCAAGTCCCCCCAGCCCCAGCTCCTGTCCTTACCTTGGAATCTTTCAGAACACATAAGTGGCACACCCAGGTGCCACCACCTTGGCTCTGGCACAGTGCCAACATCTGCTCAGCCTGTGTGTGTGTTTTAAATGCCCCATGTATTTTAGGTCAAAATGTTACATGTGCTTCTTATCGTGGGTGAGAATAAAAACTGTCCTAAAGCTGTTATTTTAAGGTTTGTGGGGGAGGTTGGAGGTTGGGGGAGGTTCTGGGGGCTCACACTGAGCCTGCATCTGTCCTTAGATGGGATGTTGATATTAAGAGGCAGGAGTGATGAGAACCATCAGGAGGCATTTGGCCCGCACCCTAGCCTGGCCATGTAGGAGACAGGGCACAAGGGGTCTCATCGCCTACCTGTCAGGTGGGCTTGGTCATTCCAGCAGATGGCTCAGCGATGCAGAGAGGCCAGCTTGCTGTGCACCTGCTGCATGAGGTTCCCTGTAAAAATGACAGGGCTGGCCCCATCACCAGTTTCATCTCCAACTGCACCTGGAACTGCTTGGCCTTGCCAACAATGGGTGGCTGCAGGTCACTATAGCCCTGAAAAGGCCTTGGTGTCACCTGGAATGGCAGGCTTGGCCAGCAAGACCAGCCATGATCATACAAGCTGGGACCAGAGAGATGGCAGGAGACAGCCAAGCTAATGGCTTTGTATGCCAATCCTTCCCAGTTTTTTATTTTTCTTAAGATGGAGTCTCATTCTGTTACCCAGGCTGGAGTGCAGTGGTGGGATCCTGGTTCAATGCAACCTTTGTCTCCTGGGTTCAGGTGATTCTCCTGCCTCAGCCTCCCAAGTAGCTGAAATGACAGGCACACACCACAGTGCCCAGCTAATTTTTCTATTTTTAGTAAAGACAGGGTTTTGCCATGTTGGCGTCTGGTCTCAAACTCCTGAGCCCAAGTGATTTGCCCGCCTTGGCCCCCAAAGTGCTGGAATTACAGGCGTGAGCCACTGTGCCTAGTCCTTCGTCAATTTTTTAACTGCAGATTTCTCAAAATTAGAAACCTGTGTTACAAACTCAGACATATATACAAAGGACTCCTCTTTTCTCCTTGACAACCCCCCTCATTGGATCTATCAAAAACTCAGTTGACCATCGCTATGTGACTAGAACCAACCCCATCTCTCACCTCTACTGCACACCAGCTCCAGCCCTGGTCATTCCAACTATCTCACTGCAACATCCTCCTGGCTCTCCCGGCTCCCATCCTGCCACTGGCAACGGATCTCCACGTGGTGACCAGACACGTCCAACCATGGCACACTAGCATTTCTTACAGTACACCCCAAAGTCCTGAGGCCAGTGAAGCCAGAACTTTGTTGGTCATTGGTGCAGACACTGGCAGGGGGGCCATGGGGACAGTTCACTACACTCCACCAAGGCCCCACATGGGAGATCCTCTAGAAAAGCCATGAGCAACTACAAATATCATCTTTGATGGCCCCGCCAGACGGTGAACAAACCCCACCCATCCCTCTCATAGCCACTAGCTAGTCAGTTCACCAAAAGTATGTCAAAACAATACTATTATCAGACCCTCACTACTTAACGCTGTGTTTCCCTGATCCCCACCGACATGTGTGCAGACGTGTGTATGAATGTGTGTGCATCTGTGTACAGATGTATCTGTACATGAATGTGTGTAGATGTGTATGTATACAGAAATACCAAAATACACAAATATGTGTGTATGAATGTGTGGATATGAATGTGTATGTACAGTGATGTGTACATGGTAGTGTCTATATTTAGATATGTGTATGAATGTGTGGGTATACAGACATGTGTGTGGATGTATAAAGATGTGTATATATACGGATGTGTGTATATGAATGTATGTGTACAAATATGTCTACATGTGGATGTAGAAGATTTTCCTGCTGACAGGCATATCCTAGTGCTGGCTTTCTCCAGTGTGTATCAGAGACTGCGTGGTGGTGTCAGAGCTTCCTCAGGGTGCACGTGAACAAGAGCACAGAATTTCTCTCCCAAACCACTACATTTTGCAGATTAAAGAGAACACTAGTCACAAATGCATCAGGTCAGCAGGCATAAACTGGGGCTCTGCAGGCAAACCAGGACCCAACCTTGACCCACACGGGGACGGGGTGCCAAACAGAACACTTCCCAGACCAACCCTAAATCCCACAAACTTTAAGGCTGAATTCAAGCCTCGAACCCCTGGGCCCAGAAATTCGAGGTTGAACCCAAGCTCTGGCACTTTGTATTCAAGAACTCATCTGCCTCAGTTTCCTTATCTTATATGGGGTTACAAAGAGGACTTGAAGAAGGGACCTCCTGCCTGCTGGAACATGCCCCAGAAAGTTAGAGTGCCAGCTGTTACTGTAATTTTATGGAAGTAGAATTTCTCCAAATGCAAATAAACATTTCCAGACTTCAGACAGTTCTATAGGGAGTGGAAGGAAGGTCCAAGGGAAGGTACAGGCAATCTGTGCTTGCACATTTAGCAAATAACAAGACATTCAAGGTCCCCTGGGGGTTCTGGAAATGAGGCAGAAGTCTCAGCCATCAGACAGGTGGGGCTTTAGCAGGAAGACGGCTCTCCCCTGACATGAGTCTTCACCCAGGCTGATGGCACAGGTGGAAGTGGAGAGAGTATTTATGCAGCAAGACATCCAGCCTGGCTTCAGACTCTCCACTCCAGGCCTCTGAGAAGACACTGGAAACTGAGGCAGAATTGGGCGATCCACTGCTGAACGTGCCCAGTGGTCATGCCTGGTGGGATCAAGTCTAAAGCTGCTATTTGTACCTGGCTGGAGTACAGTGGCACGATCTCGACTCACTGCAACCTCCACTTTCCAGATTCAAGCAATTAACCTGCCTCGAGAAGCTTGGCCTACAGTCGTGCACCATGCCCAGTTAAGTTTTGTATTTTTGGTAGAGACAGGGTTTCTCCTTCTTGGTCAGCCTAATCCCAAATTCCTGACTTCATGTGATCCTCCTGCCTCAGCCTCCCAACATTTGTTTACCTTTTGAAGTCACCAATCTGCGTGAAAAGGGGGTAGAAGTTTTAAATCTTCTCCCCAGGATAAAGGAGACAGACACGAAACTTCAACACAATGACAAGGGCTTCAAGTGACTTTCTAAGTTCCATCCAGATACCCTTGGGTACAATCCCTTGAAAAGCACCTACTAAGATAAAAATGAGCCTGGACAACATAGTAAGACCCATCTTCACAAAAAAGAAAATAAATAATAGAAAGGCATGGAGGCACAGGTCTTAGTCCCAGCTACGTGGGAGGCTGAGGCAAGAGGATCACTTGGGCCCAGGGGTTCAAGGCTGCAGTGATTTAGGATCATGCCATTGCATAGAAGACGAAAGAGAAAAGTGGGGGAGAGAGAAAAGGAGGCAAAGAGAGGGGGAAAAGACATGGGGGAAAGGGAGGGAAAGAGGTACAAAGAGAAAAAGAGAGGAACAGAGAGAGGAGGGAAAGGAAAGAAGAGAAAAGGAAAGAAAAAAGAAAGGAAGAAAAGAGAAAAGAAATGAGAAAAACATATAAACTTTGTGGCCAGGGAATTCCACTGTTATGAATTTACTCTGGAGAGAGAATTGTGTTCACCACAGAATAATTATAGCAGAAAACCTGGGAAAAACTCAAGAGTACTTCATTAAGAAACTACATGAATACATTTCATTCCATGGACTGTTACACGATCATTTGCACTACACGGGAGACTCTGATTTTTTTAGGTGGATATATTAACTCCACGTGCTGATTGTGTGCATAGATTATCTTGGAAAGGAATCACCAAAAAACCCTAACAGCGATTGGCTTTGAGGAGGCGTGAGAGAGTGGCTTTAAGGCTGCACCAACACCAACCAAACCAATAGAACTTTTTTGCAATAAGGACCATATTTCTGGGCCATCTGCAGCTGTGAAGCACCTGAAATGTGGCCCACGCAAACAAAGAACCAAATCCTTCGTTTTCTTTAATGTTAATTTATTTA